TGATCAGGTGCAACTAAAAACTACAAAATAAATATTGGCACAAAATCCATGAATAACAAGCGTAAGAGTTAAGCTCACAAATACCAAGCTAGCTATGATTTAACCATAATGCACTAAAGGTTAATAGGATTGTTGTTAGCAACCAACATTCTAAATTAAGTCCCTCAATTTTTTCTTCAAGCATGTATGGAAACTCATTTTATCTAGTTTTAATCTCATCATCAGTACAACTATCACCATTTCAATCATATTTCTTCCTAGTTCCATGCATGCGTTTCTTTCAATATGCACCACTAACAATTATACAAAAACTCTTCTTTTATGTTAAACCATGCAGGCATGGACCTATAATATCCAGATATTATTTCTTTTCCAACTTTTTGTTTTCAAATTCTACATAAACAAATTCATCAATATTGTCCATGCATGAAAAATAATGATCACAAACATTATCAATGTATTGAACACTTAAGGATGTTTAATTGTAAAATACTTCAAACCCTTCCCATAAAACATACTCCCTCTATTTAAAAATGTAAAACATTTTTAATCGAATCTCACCCCCAATAAAGTAGTTACTTACTTTCCAACTAACTCTATTTTTTCATATTTACCCTTATTAAATATCCTACAATAAATATAAAGTCATTATCAATAGGGATACTTAAAAAAAAGGTAATGATTACACTTCAAAAGACTAAAAATGTCTTACTTTTTAAACATCCAACCCCTTAAAAAATGCCTTATATTTTTGAACGGAGGGAGTTGTATATTGGAGGCATTTCCATTTATAATAATTGTTAATAAAATTAAAATTATAATAAAATGCATTAAATATGAATATGCCTAATCAACATTTTTAAGGAAAGAAATTTATTAACAAATCATTTGAAACATTATTCACTTACTTGTCAAATTCCCAAATTCCAAAGATTTATTTCCTTCAACTCTTATCACGGTCCTTTTCCTCCCATACCCTATTAGAATATGAATAAATAATACAGTTTTCTATAAATTATAAAGACTTTTTTCCACTTCCAACACAATCCCAATCAACTACTACTATTTAAAATTCTAAAACTAAAATTCATATATTAGTTTGTCCAAGTATCATCATTTATATCACCAATTTCCTCCATATTATTTTATCCATACCAATCTGGATATTATTCTCTCTTAGGTTTTGCATCAAACATCTCAAGTGCATTATTTCCAATCATTCGATTAAACTTTCTAACCTTTAATCTCTTGTTCAATAATTTATCACTAATCATACAATTTCCAAGAATTCATCTTCCATATCAACTTCATAATCACATTCCTTTACAACCTTAAATTTAAGTTCATGGATCAATAATACCCAAACTAAGCATCAAACCTTAAACTAATATTCTAAGCTCTTCCTCTTCAATTCTACTTTCTAAAAATTCTGTAATACACATATGAATTAATCAACCTCCTAATTCAATTCCTTCAACACAGAAATCAATCTTATACTCACAAAAAGTCAAATCTATCCATTATCATATTGCTCTTAACATTAAAATTTTAGCTTGAATCAATTCTCCCTCCTTGCACAACCACGGACAGTAACAACATAATTTTGTTTAAATACAACTTCAATTTCATAGACACACAAACCCCTTTGGACAGAACCAACAAGTAGGAGGGAATCGAGAACCGTCACCTCCTCTAACCACGATAACAAAAGCATGAAGAAGGAGGAGAAGATTGCACGAGGAAAGAGAAGGAGAGGAAGTAGTAAACGCACGCCACGACTACTAAAACAGTGGCAATGCAAACTGACCAGGTGATAGGGCGACATTACTGCTCAAAGAAGATCTAATGGTGACAACCACATCGGGCATGAATAGAGGAGGAGATGCGAAGGACAAAGGGAAGGCGAGGATTTCTAGCAACCCATATCACTAGCAATGGTAGTAGACGGAGGAGGAAGGAGGTCTGACATAGTAGGGCAGAGGGTTTCGGCTCTCTCTCTTTCCCCCCTCTCCCTCCCTCAACAACAATAACTCGTCCCTAAAATAAAGAGGGAGAGAAGAATAAAATCTAACGCATTAAGGCCCTGTGGTAATTCATTACAGTAAAAAAATGAAATTCCTCTCTTACACCGTGAGAATTTGAACTAGTGACCTGTGGATAAATAATAACAGTAGTTTCCACTAAACCACCATTTTAACCATGGTTTGGAAACCCGGATCAAACTGGTCTGGTCAACCCAAAAACCGACAACCCGGTCCCTTGTCCGATCTAGGTTTATAACTAAACCAATGTGAGACTAACCCGATTTAACCTGATATTGGGGTTGACTGGGTTAATCGGGTTGATTTTTTTTAGGCTGAACCCCCAAAACAACATCGTTTTGGGGGAATTTTTTTTTCTCCCTACCCTGAAGAAATGAAAAATGACTCAAGAAATGAGGAACAGGCAACAGCTAAATAGGGTTTGCCTTCGCCAATCACCACTTCGCTAAGGCTTAAAAAAAGGCACGACACGAGCATCAGATTCAGATCAGCATCAGCATCACTCAGTCGCCTACTCACCTTCGCCACTTCGCTGACTCAGAATATCAGATCACTGATCACTCAGTCATCTACATTGTCTCTTACTCTCTCGTCCACTCACTTAATCGCCCTCACGCTCTGTCTCCGACCTCTATCTCTTCTCCAGTTCTCCTCTTCTCTAATCGATCTGAAATCAGAGGCAGAGCATGCACAGGAGACACATTTCATAGTCCCAATCTATAGTTCTTCACTTCTTCTCAATAGCATCGAGCGTTCATTCAACCCATTACGATAGAGTGGTTCAGTAGCTCGTGCTTAACTTTCAGCATCAGGTCAGTGTCAGTTTCACTGTATCTCGTACTGGACTCTATTTTTATTTCTTGGTTCAGCTCCTAATTATTGTTTCTTTTCCTGATTGTTGTTTCTTGAACTATATTGCTTTTACCGCTAAGCAAGCTAATTGCTTTCTTGAACTATATTTGCTGGAAGTTTTTATAGTTTGGTCAGGCTTCACTATAGGATCTGTTTCATAACAGATCATTGAGAGATATTAGATGTGCTTGTCTTACGTAAAAATAATGTATGATTGAGAACATATTTAAAGATATTCTAAATTTAAGTTCTGAATTTCGAATGTAAAGTATCAGATTATGTCACCCTTGCATCCCATCATTTCACCTTTATCTTTGTTTTCCTATGGTGTTGTGATTGTTTTGTCACTGCCTCCGTGACACACACTACAGATGATTATATGATTGGGAAAAAATTTAAAGATTTTACTCGTAATTGTTGTCTCTTTTTGTTATTATTGTTTTTAGATATGATTCAGCTTGCCTCTTCTTGTGCCTAGTTGTTTCTCGATTCAGCTTTATTGCTAATTTATTATTTGAATTTTACATTTGTGTTAAAAAATAAAATTGAAGCTTTGTCTTTAGCTTGCAGAATAAAATATAATCATTGTATTAATTATGGATATTGGAAGTAGTCCTAGTGATAGAAATGAGAATCTTACCTCTAATTCCAATGATCCCCCTCCTAGTGGTAATGACTCAACATGTAAGGCCCTATTTATGCATGGAAAAACTGGTCCTACTTGGGCATATGTTGCCTTAAGAAAAGAGGGCAAGAAAAATATATATACTTGCCTTTATTGTGCATCAAGTTATAGAGGAGGTGGGATTAACAGAATAAAGCAACATCTTATTGGTGTGAGTGGTCAAGTAGCTTCTTGTAAGAAAGTTCCTCATGATGTACGTCACAGGATGGTTGAGTCTTTGAAAGGTGGGAGAAAAAGGAAGGTTGATAATAGAAAAGAACAAGAACAAGTAAACATTAGGGACCTTGAAACTAATGATCCAATTGCTCCTACTCCAATTAAGACAGTCCTTTAGAGAAGTGCCAATAAGAGGCAAGCCTCTACTGCTTCTTGAGAATTATTTTGCCCCCAGGACAACTCCTGGTTCCCAACTTAGCATCAAGAGTGTGCTTGCAACAAAAGAAGCACAGTACAATATAAAAATGACTAACTCAATCAAGAGGCATCGGTAATTCCTTCGAGAACATATCTGGGAATCCTGAGTGATATAAGCATCTTCCAGTACTCGAGTTTCCACCGTAAGATTGTGCACTGAAGTTGGAAATCCTTGTCATCCTTTCCTCAACAACTGAGCAGCCCTGAGTGTCTATAAGGCATGAGGCAATTACAATCTAATGCCTTGGAGATTCAACTTAGATTGTCTAGAACTACGAAAGTAAACTCTCCCTTCTTATGGCATTCCACTAGTGTATTGAGAGCTAAACGTCTCTAGGGAAATGTGAAAGTCTGTTGTTTCTACATTATTGAAATTGGCTAGGCCTTGCTTGCCCTTAGGTCTAATTGGGCCTAATACCTAAATCTCGCTAACTAATACTTCATACCCTAACAAGGGTATCAATACATCGTTCCTACTCAAGGGCTCCATTTGTAATCTATCATGTTCAACACAGGCAACGAGCATAAATAAATGGGGCGTTCGCCCCCGAGTCAGATATCGAATCGAAAATCATGCTTTGAATTCTTTCTCCTTCTTCTAACTCAAAATATCGTAAGAGAAGAAAGTGAGGTTTTTGGCTTTGAATCGCTCTAAACTTAAGGCCAAGTCCTTTAAGACAAGATGCCCTAAAAGTGATCGATAGAGAAATGCTTTAATATATACTTGAAGAAGGGCTATCGTCAATTATATTCCATTTAATGCATTAGATTGCCTTTTATTTCAAAAAGCCATAAATGCTATTGCTTCAATTGGGCAGGGATTCAAGGCCCCTAATGCTTATGAATTTAGAATCAATTTGTTGACAAATTAGAAAAAAGAATGTCAATTACTTATTGAGAGTCATCGAGCTAAATAGAAAAACACTGGATGTATACTCATGGCTGATGGTTGGATAGATATGAGGTAGCAAACTTTGATTAATTTCTTAGTCTATTCTACATATGGAATGGTTTTTGTGAAATCTATTGATGCTTCAGATTTGGTAAAAGATGCTAGGACTTTGTTCTCGTTGTTCTGTGAAGTGATTGAGTGGGTTGGTCCCAAGAACATTGTTCACATAGTGATTAATAATGCTGTAAATTATGTAGCATGTGGCAAGTTGATTAAGGAAAAATATAAAAACATTTATTGGTCACCTTGTGCTGCACATTGTTTGAACCTTACTCTAAAAGATATAGCAAGCTTAGACAATGTGTCAGCACTTGCTACTAAGGCATCAAAGATAACTGTTTTTGTTTATAATCATATGATCTTCTTGTCATGGCTTAGGAAAAGACCAGGTTGGAAAGAAATTATGCATCCTGGTGCAACAAGATTTGCTACTACATTTATCACGTTGCATAGCATATATATGCATAAGCATGACTTGCAAGCTTTGGTAACTGATAAGCACTTTGTAGATCACAAATTGTCAAAGACTCAAGCTGGAATAATTGTTACTGCTATCATATTAGATAATGGCTTTTGGGGTGATTGCTTAAAAATTATGAAGGTTGTGTCTCCTCTTATAGAGTTGTTGAGAATTGTGGATTCAGATGAGAAGCTTTCTTTGCCTTATGTTTATGAAGGCATGCAAAGGGCAAAAAAGGCAATCAAGGCAACATTCAACAATAAGAAAGATTATTACAAGCCTTACACAAATATTATTCAAGCTCGATGGGATAAGCACTTTGAGACAAATTTTCATGCAGCGGTGTATTTGTTGAATCCTGCTTTCTTGTATGATGAGAACTTTATTCACAAGAGAAGGTTAATGGATGCAATGCTTGACATGTTTAAGTCCAATGAAAGTGAAGAAATTGATTACATTGTGATGATGAAGTAGTTGAGTTTGTATCGTGATCGTAAAGAGTCTTTTGACAAAACTTCATGTCAGAGAGCAGCCTAGAAATTAGATCCTTGTGAGTATTCATATTTATTATTTAACATGTCCATGGTAATTCTAGTTATTATATGATTAACACCTAACTAAATGTTTTTTATTTACAGATGAATGGTGGTCATTCTATGGAGGTTCTATTCCAGAATTGCAAACTCTTGCAATGCGCATTCTTAGCCAAACTTCTTCTTCTTCTAGCTGTGAAAGAAATTGGAGTTTGTTTGAACGCATTCATACCAAAAGACGAAATAGATTACAACATCAAAGATTGAATGATTTGGTTTTTACAAATTATAATTTGCGATTGAAGCATAGGTAAAAATTAGAGTTTTGAGTGGTAATGCTTTTATATGTGATGTTTCTTTTCTTTTCTTCTCATTAGTTTATTTTTAATGGCATGGATAGATTATTGTTATCTTAACATTTAATATGTGGTTTTATGTGCTATTATGGGGAGATGGGAAGCATAACAAATTCAAAATGCATGATGCACGAGGAAGGGATTACATGTGCATGTACATATTCATATGTTTTGCGTGTATCTCAGTTTCATGATGCTGCATTTTTTTATTGTTTATCATATTTAATTGCTTTATTTTTTTTCAAGGAGTCAATTGAGAAAAAATAAAAGTTATGATCCCATTGATTATAAATCAATTGAAAAAGTTGACTTTTGGGTGGCTGAAAAAGAGGAAGAGCCAGCTCTTGAGTTTGATTCTCAAGATGTTGCAAATCTTGAAAGTGTCATTCACAATGAAACCACAGCTGCTCCATCAACCCTTAAGAGGGATTATGAAGGTTTATTAAATCTACTATCATGTCTAATACAAGTATATGAATTTCTTTCTTAAAATGCCATTCATTAGTATTAATTTTTGTTTATTGTAGGTGATGAATATATGAATATTCTAGAGTCCCCACCTTTGCCTAATGTTGCTAGTGGTTCTGGTTTTTCTCATTCAACTCCTAATGTCTCAATGCCTGGAGATTTGAATGAAGTTAATGATGATTTTAGTGTTGGTGAATATTAATTTTAGACTTTTAGACTTTTTAATGATTGAAGGGTTGTAATTGTAAGGAATTAAGGATTGATATTTGAAGTGTTGTATTTTATTATTGTTGAACTTTTGCGTAATTAGATTTGATTGACTTTTTTTTATAATTAATATCTTTTTATTTAAATTATATTATTTTAATTATGACCAATTTGTCACCGGTTCAACCCCCGGTTGAACCATTAACCCGTGACCCAATGTCATGATCGATTCAATGACTGGTCCGATTTTACATACCTTGATTTTAACCACCAATTAATCTTGCTAAGGCTGCTCTAAAATATATAAAGATATAATTAAAATACTTTATAATTAATTTTAATTTAACTTAATTTTCAAGGTCATTCTTTTAAAGAAATTTTCTAGGTCATTATAGTGCCAAACCTCAATATGTTTACCAGTCACCTTTTCTCAAAATATTAGCTATAGATCAATATGTTCAGCGCGCGATTCAAGCATCAGATTCAGACAATGCTATTATGCTACTGTATCGGAATTGTCAGAATATGAGAGGGAAAAACAATTCAGAGATATTTGTATTACTGAATGATCATGTGTGCATAGTGCAGGCCTTGGTAGAACAGATTGGCTTCATAACTAACTAAAACTAACAATAATCACATACCATAACTAGCAAAACTACTAACTACTTACTATGAACTACATAATTGTCAAATCATTCATGCTTTTCTTGAATCTATACTTTTAAAATGAAAAATGATGTGACACAAAAGAAGCAAAGATTCAAAGTCAAATATAGCAGTTTGTTAAGAATCCAAACCCAAGTAATCATAGGAAACAAGAGACTCCCAAGATCAACAACCATATTGTCTCAGATGAATTGACTCAAATATAAAATAAGCATTGACTGGCTGCCACAGAGAAAAAGGGAAAGACTTATATATTATCAAAAAGCTATAGAAAATGTTTTAAGAAATTAAACTTGAAGGGGTTCATTTTCGTCCATGGAGCCAAGCATCTCATTCACCAGTAACTGGCATTCAGAAGAATCTCCAAATGTCAAGCACTTCTCTACAAAATTGAAGGTGAACTTCTGTTGACTCATTTGAAGTATCATGCTAGCTAATTCCTTTATAATAGCCGAACGCTCATGTGGCTTCCCATGTTCTAGCACATGCTGTTATTGAGGATAGAGCAAGGCAGCAAAATGAAAGATCAGTTTACAAGTATAAACTACAAGATACATAGATGTCAAAAGTAAATTGATAAGTAGCATCCACTCCAAACATTCTTCAGTGAAAAATGAAAATTGAGAAGTCACGAAAAAATAAATAACTTCAACCAATATAACCAAAAAAGTGAGAAAAAAACTTCAATTAGCAAGTTTCACATCAGATCTTCCTCTCAGAACAACTAACTTGCAGCAGAATGTGACTAGTAAACTACAAGTAGTCTAAACTGAGAGTAGTTAGGAAAATTAACCTGAACAACATAATTTCCATTGTGATCCTGAGCTAACAGGCTAACAGCTCCTAAAATCTCATCCACAGCTTTCTGTTGCGTCTTAGCATCTTTGCAGTGCTCCAGTACTCTCTGCCAATTAGAAAAGCATTATTATATGGCCATGGATTTTAAATGCAGAATAATCTTAAGTGGAGCAGTTTATATAATCCTGCCTGTACAACTCGACAACGATATAGATGAGTTGAAACTTGAAAGTGTCACAACTTGATCAAAATTGTTATATGGTAAAAAGCAGTTTAAATAATACTTACTACGCTCTGCTTTTGAGCAAGCACAATATTCAATTACCTCCATTATCAACGCCAATCATCCACACACGACTTTGTTAATGCACACATTCTCATGTTCTACACTCCTATGTTAAATTTGATTAAATCATAATATTCTCAATCTCCATCTTTATTTACAGCTGGAGGGAGTTGAAAATTTGATCAACATCTTCTCTGACACAGCCAGCGAAGATAGTGCCAATTCAGACATCAGGATTTATGTTTCCTATGAATATAATAGATGCCGGAATGGCCTTGATAATGTTAATGTGGAACTGTTAACAACTCTATTAGCAACAATTTGAAAGGGGAAAACAAATCAATTGAGTGAAGAAAAAATTGAGATGAGGGTTGAAAATGGTACCATGAAGCAGAGCAGACAAGTTGCCAGATGGGAGTTAATCTTAGACGAGCAATTTCTCGTCTTTGGAGTAATAGTAAGCTCTGAGAGGAACAAATATTCTCGTGCTCAATCTTGCCCAGAACCTCCATCTGAGCATCAAAGTCTTTCTTTGTTACAGCCACCTCTTTCAATCTCTTCGCCACCACCGTCGTTCCTCCTTCTAGCACCTCCTTGTAGGACATTCCCACGCTTCCTTTGCCTAGAACTTTTGCAGAAGCTCTTAGCAAATCTTCCAAATCGAAGCTCAATATCTCGCCTTCGAAGAACACCAGCTTGTTCCTCTCTACCTCAACGGACTCGCCAGTGATGTTATCTTTCTAGGATGATGTTCCAGCCTCCGCCGGCACGGCACGCGTCGCTGCCACAGGCTTGGGTAGCTTGGCTGGCTGGCTTCGCTGGCCTTTCCTAAGGCACAGTAGCTGTTATTACCTCTGGTAATTAATGCATAGAACAAAAATGACCTTTCTCCAGCCATATTGCCACGAAGATCTCGTAACTCACGCATCCAAATCTAGCTCATGCCTGCACCAAGCTTACGCCAGGAGGAAGACACCAGCGTTTCGAAAAAGACCATAAACTCTCCTATTCTTTTAAAAAAAACTCATATAAGTTTCATCTTAATTTTTTGTAATAGAGTTCGGGCTAACTCATAAAACTTGATATGAATTATTAACTCTACTATTTCTCTACCTATTTTATTGGGCTTGGTTGATGTACGCTTGGTTCCTTCGGTCCAACAGGCTTCTAGCCCAAAAATATTTTAGGCCAAACAATCACTAAGACCTTTTAAAAATATAATGCAATATATAAATAATGAATTTTGTCTCCAAACCTTTTTAAAAATGTTGGTAATTTCATAAGGGTTGTGTATATCTTAGAATAAAATTAGATTGGAGAATTTGACCTTAATTTTTTTTCTTTGCCGACGAGCTAGACCTTGATAAGGTCTGTCTATTATAGAAGCCTCCTCCATTTGAAACAACACTTAGCGTAAATCATTTATTGCTTCATTGACCGATACCAATTGGGAGAGAGATTGACAATCTATGCGTAGAGATCCAAGTCATTGCGGCGCAGTGACATGTTATGACTATTCCACTACTGTCACATTAATTTACTTTGATACTTCATTTGAAGTCTACCACTCTGAAGATTCCGTTTTTTGGATCATTAGTTCAGAAAAATATCTAGGTAGATCAAATATATTATGTTATTTGTGATCTATTTAATAAAAATACGATATTTAAATGACATTAAATATAAATTAATTTTGATATTAATAATAGTATATTCTGTTTAGATTACTTGGAGCATTTTAATAGAATAGACTACAAATGACATGATACATTCAATTCACCTAAGTATTTTTTCATTAATTTGCTCTGTGTGCAATAATGTGATCCCCTATTTTCACAAAAAATAATGTGTTCATAAAAAATGTGGAGGAAAGATTAAAAAAAGGAAAAATAGGGCTTGACATCTCTAATGTGCCTTCCTCTAATTGATGCCCTTTATAAAGCCCTGCGTTCTCAATTTTTTTTTTTGTTTTTCTTTAGATTATTGGCTTGTTTATAAAATAAAAGAATTTCAGGAGATCAAGATACCTTTTATTTTATGTAGAAGATGATGATTTAAGGAAAAATAAAAATGAAATTGAGAAGGAAGGTTATTACAAAAGGCATTGGAAGAAGGTCCATCAGAGATCACTATCCCGAAAATTATGGACAAAAGTACTATAATATGCAAACTCCATATTATTAAGGTACTCTCATATAATAGTTTTGTACGTTTCAAGAGAAAGCCCAATTACGATCACTATACCTCAGTTTAACGTTCAATGAAGAAATGTTATAAACTGTTTTCAAACAATATAATACCACAGTTTCAATTAAATGATAGATCTGATAAAATTGTGGGTGTACATGGTCTGTAATATTTCAAGAGGCGGTTTCTCCTATCCATGAAGTTTTTATTGTTTTTCCCTCAGAATTCTATCCATGGAATTTCAAGATATCAAAAAATAATTTTGGGTCAGAATGTTTTTGGGTAATTTAACCACACGTTAACTGCTTAAACAAAAGACACTGTCAAGATCAATTAAAACAAATGCATGCCATCGACGACGATTGGGCTTGTATTACCAATATTTTTATACCAGATATGATTGGAGTATTTGAACTTGATTTAAGTACTTAAGGACAAATATTTAAGTTCCCAAAATTTGGGAAAAGCATTTGGTTCATTAACCCTACCAACTGGATGGAAATTCATTTTTTAAATAATTCCAAAATCAATTGTTTTCAATAAATCTATGCCCACCCACATGCACAAACACAGACATTAATATTTTTTTTATTGCTTACATGTGCCTTTCTACTAGAAATAATACACATTCCACGTATGATCAATCATTAAATGTAAAAAACTCTTCTTCTTGTTTTTTTTTTTTTAGTGAAGACGTGGGAGGATTCGCATATTTACTAGAGTAAACGCACATATAATACATGTGGATAGCGAAAAATAAGGAACATATAAATATGATGCTGATTCATACTGAAAAAAAGAATATCAAAAAGAGAAAACACATAAATAAAAATTATTTTTTAAAAAATGTGTACATTAGTTTTAGGGAATAGATCCCATGAAGTTAAGAATATGTAAATTTTATAAATTTGCATGGAAAAGAGTAGGTTTTGTATTTTATAATGCTAGTAAAATAAGGGGAAAATATTAAAAAAGAAAAACTTTACAAAAATTCATGAATATTTAGGACTTGTTTGGTTTTTCTCTCATTGTTTATTTTTAAAAATTTGTAATTGAATTTTTAAAACCTGTTTTCAAAACTAAATTAAATGAAAATTTGTTTGATTATGTTAATTAGAAAATAATTTTAGAGTTAAAAAATATCAATAGTATTGGTCGTCAATGATTAATAATGATAGCCTAATGATCGGTTGGCCGTAGATGAATGTAATTTATAATAATCAAAATATATTATCAAAAAATTAATAGTTAAAAAGTTGTGTTTTAAAATTTAAAAAAATTCATGGGGTGTGGAAAAATGAAATGAACTTTCTCCGATAACTTAAATTTCAAACATGTGGGGTAGACAAATTTGAGAAAATCACAGTATTGCAGAGGAATATTTGTATATGCATGCGTCAAAATTCTATTGTTTACCAAAAATTATATACATCAGGTTTTATTGAAAATAATCCTTCCATTGCATATTTAGGTTATATATATCCATTATAAAAGATTGTTGAAATTTATTAAATGGTCATCTCAATGTAAAATACTTAAACTGCTAAGTTTGTGTACTTGAATTGTTATATTGTTATTTCTAACGTATTTGTTGGACTAGCCACTCTATGGATTAAGTCCAAACCCAAGCCCAAATATATAATAAGGCCTTGTCACGATATGAAAATGATTTGGACCCTTTTGTGCAGTTTTCCCTTTTTTATTTGAAAATGGGAGGGAATGGTTTTTGTAATTATCCATGCGTGCACATTCAGTGAAGAGGGGGAACCCGTGGGTTAAAAGCAGAGTATGTATACTGGTTTCAGGGCGCTAGCAAAACACTCTCATTTTCTCTCTTTCTCTTGTGTTCTCTATGTGGGCGTTCGTTGTGTAGAAAGAACCGAGTTCTACCATAACTTCGTTCCCGCATAGTGAACTATCTAATGTGGCAAACAGGCGTGTTTTGACTTTAAAAAGAACCCAAAAGACGAACTTTATCAAGGTCATGTTTTAATGTTATTTAACTTGAATAATGGATTGAAAATTAATTGGTATAACACTCATTCTTGTGCGAAATATCAGTCCAGACCCAAGGTTCTTTTTGGCACTAACAATATAATTCTTGCACAAATCACTTTAGATTCTCATGTGAATGTGTTGGTCCGAACTAGCCACTATTCTGGAGCTCTAATTTTTTATGTGATTCAGTTTGATTCTCTCATGAATAACCAAGTTGGAAGTAGGTACCATTTTGGAAGTCTAATTTTTGCGAGAATGACTTCCTGTTCTTGCGAGAATGTACTTGACAGAGTCTAAGACATTTTTAAGGCATTAACATGATGCACAAGAAATTGTTTTTAAAGAGATTTGCTAAGTTAAATCCATATCCATTACTTTAAAGGCTATAACTTGTCTCTAAGTTCCACCATGTTCATGCAAATGTAGGCTCTCAATATTGATTTTCACAATGATTCTAAGAGAATAAAGGTAATAAATCTGCAAAGCTAAGTCTTCTCTTGAATCTTGTTATCATCAAGATTTTGTCATTGATTAAATAATGGGTCTGCATAAAAGCAATAAACCTTCTATGGAGTTTTGTTATCATCAAAATACATAATGTACCCAACAATCTCTCATTTACTCTTTTAGTTTTCCTCGAACTGTCCATATTCCATCTTGTCTTAGAGGGTTAGATTTTCCATCATCATGTACTTTTTTTATGAGGATGAGACATAAAGCAAGGGCCGTCCTAATCTTATATCTTGTGGACAACCCTACTCGCAGGGACTTTTGCAAAAGATTTCCAAAACGACATAATCAATTTTTCTCCATGCATTTCAATTATTGAATTAATATGCTCATTCATTGATCATAGTCTTCTCAACAAGGTCTAAACAATAGAATTTGATGCATATACATGTGATTTTCTCATATTTCTCTGCTCCACATGTTTAAAATTGAAGTAATTACGAGAGAAAGTTCAATCTTTTCGGCTGGTACAAAATAAATTAAAGTTCAGTCTTTTTCTTAAAAAAAATAAATAGTGATGATACTGATCGAAATTATAAAAGATCTAATAATTTTTGTTTTCTAACTTTTCTCTCTTTTTTTAATATTTACTTAGCCACTATCCACGTCGACATGGATTCAGCATCACATTTTTATATTCATTATTTATTTATTTTATCTCTCTTGACATGTATTATACACACACCCACACACTTCTGCGAATATGGAGATAAATTTAGATGTGTACGTTGGAAAAAATAGATTCAAAGGAAAGGAGGTAAAAATGAGGTCTCTCTACGGTGCTCATCAGGAGATGAGTCACCCGAATGAGATCTGAACCATCCAAAATTTAGTTTGGATGGTTTAAATTTAGAGTATTATTATATATTAAAATTTTATTATATATAAAATAAATTTTTAAAAAATTATAAAATGATTTTAATAAATTTTTTAATGTTAAATTGGTCTAAATTGGATTTGGAAGTCAAAATCTGGATTGTACGTAATACATTTGAATAGTCAATATATAGAAATTATAAAAATTTTAACGTTAAATTGAATCCTTCAAATTAAATTTAAACCATCTTAAAAATAAAAAAATTATTAAAATTATTTTATAATTTTTAAAATTTTTATTTTAATAAATATAAAATAAAACAATCTTTTAAATTTGAACCACCAAAATTAAAATTTAAATGGTGTAAATTTTATCACTGATGGGTATCTAAGTCAAATCCGGTAAAAATGAGGGAGGATTTTTTTCCCCATCCTTTGGGGGAGGGAGCATGTAAACTAATGACTTGACTCATAT